CCCGCGCTCCCCGGGCGCCCCTCGCTGCCGGCCCGGACGGGAGGGAGCCGAGGTGTGCCCCTCCGGAAGTCGGCCCTGCGTGCCGTGCGGCTGTGACGGGGCTCGTATTGGCCTCTGGGGATAAAGGGTGTTCCCAGAATAGCAGAAGGGGGACCGTATCCCACTTTAGTGGCACGTAGGATAGATCCTGCCCCCACGAAGCCGCTCGATGCGGGCTGGTCGGGAATTGTGTTCAGAAGGTACTAGAAGGAGCAAGTAGTGAGGGGAAGAAGTTGCTTTTTAAATACAAGACTTTACAGAAATAATAATATGCTTTCTTCTGGGGCTGTAATTTGAATATCCTGCAATTCACTGTTGAACTTAGGATAGATGAACGTGCAGCACCCACGGGTGAATAGGAAACAGGAGGGCGAGAGATGCAGCGCCTCGTTAGCACGGTTGGAGGGAAACACGGGAGAATAGCTCGCAGAGGTGTCTAGATGGAGAGGATGGACATGCGTGTTTGGGGGGAAGGATAGAATGTTCCTACAGGTAAGCTTGTATGTTTCTATTCTACGGAAGGTTTAAGTATGTGGTTTGCCTCCTGAGGTTTCTGCTGGAATCTGGCATCTTAAAATGTGTCACTTCGAGAAAGATTTTAACATTGGTGGGTTGCACAAAAATTGGTAGTTCTTCCTCGGAGCCCACACTCAGTCGGTCCTACGCTCTGTCACATCGTTATTTGAAGAGATTGTCTTTTAGTTCAGATAGGATATGTAACTCCGAGAGAAATTTTGGCAATAAAATACTATAAGGGCTTGCTTTACTAAGAAATTCTGCATCTAAAAGTTCTTGATACTTAAAAGTTAAAATCTGGTCAGCTATTACCGTTCGAGTAGTATTTGGGATAAGCTCTTCTGAAAGTTGATTCTCTGTTTCTGGAAAAACTTACGGTAAACAAGGTTAAATAGTTATAGGATGCTAGTGAGCTGAAGAATTTTTCAGTTTCTTGATTCCTGCTTCTGGTGGCTGCACTTAGCTGATTCAGTCCTTTTTAATATCCCTAAAAACATAGGTGGAAACAAAACTTCATTTTTCAGATTATGCTTTAAATTCTCAAGAGTACATCATGACTGTTAGCAAGGTTGTCTGATCATGGACAGGTGGTTTCATCCCAAGAGATTTAAACAGCAAGTGATGAGTCCCTGGTAAAGACAAATAGGACCTCATGGGGCTGAATATGGTCTTATGGCCTAAGCTTGCCTCACCTGATCACAGTAATGGTAAATGCAGGAAGTCACAATTCCAGGTTTATTGTGTATTTTTGGGAGGAGGTGCTTCTGTGGGTTCTCGTACTGGTAGGTACATTGATCTTCTACCTTTTTGGCTTTCCAGCCGTGTCAGTAAAAAAAAATAAAAATAAAAATAAAAATTGACCATGACCTCCTAACGTATATTTATAAACAATGTGTGTGTATTATTTTTTTTGTATGTTATAAATCACACCAAAAGTAGAAAGATGACATTAAAAAAAGCTGAATGTACATTTTTTTCTCATACTCCAGTGGACCACTTAATGTATTCCCTGAAGGGATGTACCCTCCTTCATGGACCCCTGTTTTGGGTCATGAAGCAAGCAGTGGCAACTAAATAGAAATCCTCCTCGTTTGGGTGTCTGTTGACTTTGCTTACCTTGACTTCACTTGTAGTACAGAGTTGTCAGATCCTGGCATACATGCCTAAGAACTTGAGGTTATTAATTGGAGAACATAACTGGGCTAAGTAGAAAATAAAGGTTCTAAACTGAAATGAAGCAAAGACCAGACAAGAATGATGTTCACTGTACAGACTAGGGACTTAATAGCAAATGGAACTTATTTTTATTTTTCTGTACACTTTTAAGAAAGACCAAAAACTTTAGGTAGCAAGACCATAATATCTTAGTAACACTCTTTTGATTTAATTGCTGTTGTTTTAAGAGATTTCAATGCTAGAGAGTCTCATTTTTATATGACATTTATAAAAATAAATGTTTTCTCTTAGGCTTTTGAGCCTGTATTCAGCAAATCTTTGTTGAGCACCACTATATACACCTAGCTCTGCACTAGATGCTGGGCATGTGGCGAAGACGAGAGTCCTGCCTCCAGCTTAGTCTACAGGGAGATACACTGTAGAGCTGGCATTGACAAAGAAACTGGGGACAGAAGAAAATTGGACAGAAGCACAAAGAAAACAGAAAGCACAGACCATTTAGGGGACTGATAATGGTTTAGTATCATTGAGGTGTGAAGTATAAGGGAGCAGAGGCTAGAGAGAGGTTAACACCTTGGATTTGATCCTCTATGCCTGAGCCACAGAAGACTTTTCAGCAAGAGGGTGTGACACACTCAGGTTTGAGTGCTAGATTGCTCTGGAGACAGTGGTTGGAGGGAACACTGCTAAACCAGAGGAGATTAGCGCCCCTGAGAGATGATGTCAGCCTGAGGTAATTCTGTGGCAATGGGATGGAGAGGGATGGTGGATGTTTTTCTGGGGGGCGGGAAGGTAGGTAGAATTGTCAGATACTAATGATTGAACAGATTTGGAGCAAGGGAGAAACATCTATGAATATTTTGGAATGTAGATCTTCACTGAGGAAATTAGAGTGAAAAATTTATTTTGGGGGGCTGGGGGAAGAATATCTGTACATATGTGAAAAAAATAAAGAGGGTTAGGAAAATTCTTGACAGGTTTATTTTCTCAAATGAAATTTGAGAAAAATTTGATTTTGTTTTACTCATTCTAACATTCTGAGTTTTCAGTGTGTTCTTGATTTGCATGAACATTACTCAGATTAAGAAATTTGAATTAAAAAAAATGTTACCCACTCAGGCCTTTCTTAAGATCCATTGTTAATGTGTAGCAGTGGTGCCCAAACTTCAGTGTCATCAGAATCACTTGGAGGTCCCATTAAAACAAGATTGCTTAGCCCTGTTCCTAGAGCTCCTCATTCCTAGGTCTTGGCCAGCCTGAGAATTTGCACTTCAAACAAGTTCCCAAATGATGCTGCTGCTGGTCCAGGGACCACACTTTGAGAACTACTGCTCTTCAGTTTTTCTACTGCTTCCTGCTTGAATGATTCACCTGCAAGGAAACTGGGTGCCACCCTGCTTCCTGTGGACTGAACTTTGGAATAGTATTTGTCCCCATAGTAGCCAGACTTTCATTTAGGGTTGAATACACAGATTTGAAATAAACTTATTTTTTTGCTCACTGGAGGTGCTCACTAAATGTTTGTGGAAGGAACAGAAGCACAAATGACAGTGTAAACTGTACAATGTGTAACTTTTGGAGGCAACTATTTGCTCAATGTAAAAACCAAATTGATAATCTATGTGGAGTTAAGTCTTTTAGACGACTTAGCTCCTTGACCCCCTGTACTTGGTTCATGTTCCTTTATGGCTATCTCTTCACTTTAAGAGCTACTTTCTTGGCTTGTCTTTGGTTGAAGAACTTTTTTTTTTTTTTTTTTTAACATTTTTATTATCTGTAAGTTTATTATCTCCAAGAGTATTTTGTATTATCTGCAAGTCCCCTTATATTTTTACCAGTTTGATGAGTACTCTTTATTTTTCAAGCCAGAGGGCTCATTTTCGAAACCTCGCCTACTGTATTCAGCCTAGTACCTTGGCAAGATGAGTCAGACTGAGGTAAAAGAGCCCTTCCGTATTCCTGTGTCTTTGGGTACAAAAACAGGCATGCATATCACTGAATTTGGGGCCTGTCATATGAGATTTTAGTGACTGAAGTTCATGGTGTATTGTCCGAGTCAGAAGGCCTCTTACCAGTCAGCAGCCCTCATTTGCAGATGAGGAGATGGAGGCCCACAGAAGGGAAGGGATGTGTCCAGAGTGAAAGGGCAAGCCAGAGCCAAGACAAGGATTGACCTGGTTCCTGTTCTGTGCTTCTCTGGATCTTTGTTATCTCTGAGTTGACTGTAGAGATTAGCTTTAAAGACTAAAAACGTAATTGGTATATGAAAAATAAAGAAGATAAATAAGATGAATATGATCATGATTGTTGAGACGATCCCAGGAGAGGTATTAAATTAAACAAGTTCTTAAAAATTGGGTAAAACACTCATCTTCACTTTACACCAAATAGATAAGCAATAATGTAGATGGCCACCAACATTATTAGTAGTAAGGGTGGTTCAAATTAATACTGAACTGCCACTTTTTAACTGGAAGAAAAAATAGGCAACAGAATAAATTATCAAGAGAAATTGTGAAATGTCCATTACTGAAGATAGATAGACTTGGAGTGGATCTCCATCACGGTTTGGAAGGAAGCTTTCTGTCTTGCCTGAGTACTGGAGTGAGAACAGATGACCCACTAGAGCTCAGGGCTGCCTGCATGGCTTTAAAACCAATTGAAAGTAATGATATATGCACTTTTTAAAAGCATTTTATAAAAGCAGACCAATAAACAGTGTTTATACAGAAATGCCTGGCTAAAGGTTTGGGTGAAGCTACTAGTGTTTACTAACTGAGCTTTTCTTAAGAAATGTGAGATATACTCATTTGAGGCATTTCAGCTCCAGGTTTTTTCCACTGATGTAGTTTTAGCAGTTTTGTGAAAAGAGAACAGAATAGTTTTATGGTTCATAACACTGCTTTCTAAATTTCCAAGAGTGCTATGACTTCTTGGTAGACATGGTTCACTCATTGTAGTCAGTATGTCCTGAAGTGGCCTCGTGATTATAGGATAGATATGCTTTTGACACATCTTGAGGCAATTGTAGCGACCTAGTTGGATTCAAAGTAATCTGAATATGACTAGTTTCTGAAAATGTGACCTCATTTCTACAAGCAGCACTACAGTAATACTTCAGAATTGGCATCTGCTCTGAGCTCCCTCAGCAGTGTGAGGGGGTGCGGGCACTGCAGCTGCTCAGGCTCTTTGTCTAGCCTGAGTTCGAGTACTTGGGCTTCCTTGGATGCATCATTAGGGCTTTTGTTTCTTTCCGTGTGGTTTCAGGTTGACTGTGTTTAGATGTGTTTATTAATCATGTCAAGAAGAAAAAAACATGATTAGAAGCGTTGTGGGACAGGGAAGCAAATTGGGTGTCTCAGAGCTCCTAATAATATGATCTAAGAAACTGACTTAGGAAATCTCTGTACAGTACTATCATTTGAGGTCATTAAAAAAATAAGAACAGCAGAAAAACATTTTTTTCAAAATATCCCATAAAGATATGCTCTGGGAGAAAAGTCAAGTCCTTGATGACTCACTCTGCATATTGGAATAAGGAACATGCAGAGATCATAGTGCAGTATTCCTGAGGAGTGTGGGAGGCTGGGGACTCTGGTCCAGCATTCTAGTCTTGACTTGAACCAACAATTGAAACTTTTTTCTCCTTTTCATTGCAGGTGTCTCTTCTATCATAATTGAACTCAGCTTTTCCATGTTTAACCCAAACATCTCAAAATTTCTCTCTGGCAGATTGCCAAGTGCTATTCATATATGCTACCTAATTAGTGCTATTCTTTTATTTTTCCTCCCATTTTTGATAACAGTCACAGATGGGTGGTACCCTCAGGGATTCAGGTGGGCTGAATTTGGCCTTATGGTGCTGCTGTGCTAACTTAACTTTCTAAATTAAATGCTTTTGACTTCTGAAACATTGGAACGGTTGCCAGTTGCTGTAGTCTTTTCTCAGCATAATCAGTTAATGTTGGCCTGCTATTAGGTACATGCAAGTTTAATCTCATTTGATCTTGTCATTTCAAATATTTTAATGCAATTTATTTTTTAACTAGGTACATGTGAAGATTTCTTGGCAGTTTAGCGTGGAAACCATTGACATCTTGCCCTCATTTCTACCTGTTGTTGGCAAGGGAGAGTGCCCAAATGAGCAAGATAGCGCAGCAGAGCAGTACTCCAGGAGTGAACGGGATAAGTGTTATTCATACTCAGGCTCATGCCAGCGGCCTACAGCAGGTTCCTCAGCTGGTGCCTGCTGGCCCTGGGGGAGGAGGCAAAGCTGCGCCTCCAAGCAAGCAAAGCAAAAAGAGTTCGCCCATGGATCGAAACAGTGACGAGTACCGTCAACGCAGAGAGAGGAACAACATGGCTGTGAAAAAGAGCCGGTTGAAAAGCAAGCAGAAAGCACAGGATACACTGCAGAGAGTGAATCAGCTCAAAGAAGAGAATGAACGGTTGGAAGCAAAAATTAAATTGCTGACTAAGGAATTAAGTGTACTGAAAGATTTGTTTCTCGAGCATGCACACAACCTTGCAGATAATGTGCAACCCAGTAGCACTGAAAATACGACGACAAATTCTGATAGTGCAGGACAGTAGACCCACCCCTTCTGAACAACTTGTGGCTTGAACGTCAAAGGTGTGACTGTCTACACCACTCATATCCATGACTGAACGTTGACTTGTTCCATTATTTAAAGATCCACTGAGGGTTGTTTTCTGGGATCAGCACTGAAGAGTTGATTAGCTAAAAATGTTAGCCATGTAATTTGCATATCTGGTTTTAAATGATACGGATTTTTGTGGGGATTAAAAAACAAATTTTTAAGGTATGTGGTAAAAAAAAAAAAATGCCCTGGACCTTGATGTTCTTAATAAATCCTGACTTCCCAAGAAATGCTTCTTTTTTAGGTTGACAAAAGGAATGGGGGAACTGGCAGGTCATGCAGAAGGTTCTTGGTTTTAATGGATATGGTTAATTGGATTAAGAAAAGTTGAATGCCATCTATGTGATTTTGTTCTAAATTATGTATTAAAAATCCTTAGGGCTATAGAAACCAATCACTTTGTAATTTGGAGTGATTTTATGCATAGCATGAACCTTGTTTTAGCATAATTAGTACTGTTTTCCCCAACAACTACAGGGTTTTGAATGGCGATGTCAGGTTATGTAAAGAAACCTCATTGCATTTTCAAGGCCGTATGCAGCCAGTTGGCTTAAAGAATATAAATAAATTTAGGAAGCAAATAGGTTTTTAAAAACTAAAAGTAAAGCATATTAGAATTATGCTTTTGAGATACCTTTGGGATGTTGGATTGGCATTATTTTGTTTTCTAAAAAAAAAAAAAAAATCCCCCAAAAACTCTGGATTAGAGAAACTTGAGTATCAAAATTTTAGTTTCTGTAGATGCTAGTAAAGTAAGCCTTTTTTTGAATACCATTTTGACAGCCAAGTTAGTAAACAAATGTCTTAACAGTTTGATCACACAAGCTGCTGATGAGGATCTGGAATATTAATTCAGCAGGTAGTTTCTCCTGTGTTCAGAGATTTGCAGCGGGGCCATGATTTTTAAAGGCAAAAATTTCTTCTGAAGCATCATTTAGTATTTGATCTTAACCAACTGATTATTAAAAAATGCATCATCAACTCCATGCCATCTCCCAAAATAATAGTCTAAGAAAACTTGAAAGTGTAAGGTTTAACCTTTAATTTATTTCGCTTTAATACATCTTTTTATATTGTTTTTGTGACATTTTCTAGGTAGTGGGCTGTTCTTCCAGACTTTTTGTACCACTGCTTCTGTTTATTCATTTCTATGCTTTTATGTCCCATAAATTATTTTAGAAAGAAAATACTGATAAAACTCAGGACATTGACATTTTTGTTGAGACTGAAAAATGGCAATCACAAAAGTTGGGAATTCTAAAGTCTGGCTTATATCCATGTTGGTAGTTTTGATTGTCCTTGTTGACTTTTTTTAGCACAGTTCTAGCTCAAATTTGTTGGCTTTTGTGTGTGGGTTTTTTTTTTTGTTGTTGTTGTTCCTGGGCTGGTGACGAGACTGAGTCACATCTGATTAAAACATTTGTGTTACCAGGTATCTCATTTGAACATGGTCACTTTTGGCCACATTGCTATTTCATCCTAGGACCTGGGACAGGACGTAACTCAGGTTGCACCCTTGGGTTGCTGGAAGAGTGCTGTCTGTGCTCTTGGCAGGAGAGGATGTCACAGCACCCTCCAACTCGGTAAAGCCATTAGTAAGGCCTTGAGCCCCTTCTGCATGTGACAGGAGCACAGTGTTGTTCCATGAGAGCCGCTGTCCCGGAAGGGTTAACTCCCTGTAGAGAAAGGAGACACGAGAGGGGTTTCTATTAGGGTCCAACACCAGTTTACTTTGGTTGGAGTATCCATCTACTCGTAGAGGTTGATAGATGTTTTGAATAACTAAGAGATACCCACAGAATCCTCCTGAATCTTTAATAGCTAGTTGATGTTATATAATTAACCTGATTGGAGATGCAGTAGGTCACTTGAATCCTTAAGCACCTGCAATAGGTGTTACATTTTAATCTCTTATTTACTGAAAAATGTCTTTCAGAAATTGATGTCCCCATGGAATTTATGATTACCAGATATATGAATTGACTTAACTGTCTTGGAAAAGGAGCTTTAGGGAAATTAGGTGTATTCAATATTTCAAATCAGAACACAAGATTGGAACTCTTGGAAAAATTGATTCGAGCTTTCCTATTACCTATGCAAATCAGAACTTGAGCACAGGCAGTCATTATACATAGAACAGAAATGTTCACCATTATCTTGACTATCTTACGTGTTTTTGGGAATGCAAGTTTTTAGTTTGATAGATTTATCAGTATAAAACTGAGGGAAATCAAGTATGGGGAATGGGTAAGTTTAGAGCTTTGGGGATCGTCCAGTGACTTGTAACTTTTGTTCTGTAGGTTACGTATGAACCCTTAGGATTTGCTCTGCCTTTGCTGGCAGGTCCAGTGGGTCAGGAATTAGGCGTTAGTGTCAGTTTCTGGCTGCACTGCCGGCATGGGTGCTTTCTGAGCGCTCTGGGCTGCGGGTGTGCCGTCAGGGCTGCGCTTCCTGCTGTCTGGCCCCTTTCAGGTACTGGATGTGAGCTCAGATACCTTGGACATTCTTACTAAGAAGATTTTAATAAAATATGACCAGATTTGTGAAATTCAGGTCATGAGTATGGAATTCTCAAATTTACATAAGGAAGTAGAAGTATGTATAATTTAATATTTGATAGTAAAAGAAAGGAAATCATAGCAGCTTTTGATGTTTCCCCATTAGAGCGCTTGAAACTTTGTACCTGAACAACCCAGTTAGCACTCAGAGTGCTTTTTGATGCCTTAGAAATAGGAAAAAAATGTTCTGTTTGACAAAAGCTAGGAAGGAGAAAGTCCATTCTACAGCTGTTAGATCTGCCTCTCAGGAAAAAAGTGTTTAACTTGTTCTTTTTGTTCCTGGCTTTCCTCAGTTTGTGAGATTACTCTATTTTTTTAAATATAATTTTATTTCTCTCAATGAATTTGAAATAAAAAGAACTTTGGAATAATGACTGTATTTCCTTGTGGGTTTCTTTATGTTAGATACCAAGAAAGTAGTCCAAAGTTAATCATCTCTGAAGAGCACGTGGACACCCTGCTGTCTTTCCTGTTCCCAGCCCAAGGCAGGGGTGGGGGACAAGCAGAGGTGCGTTTGTCCAGGTCTCGATTTCCCTAATGGATAGGAAGGTGGTTTTCTCTGAATATAGAGTGCCTCTTCAGTTGTCTTCTCTGTCCCCTGTCTGTTAGAGGAGGCAATAACCGGTGTTCCTGCTCAGCCAGCTAGTGTCTCAGTGCGTAGCTCCATTAGAGTGGCAGGGAGTCAGTTCTTACGCTTTGAGGTAGACAGGAATGTCAAAGTAAGCCCTTTTCCCCAACAATACAATTATTAGTGTATATGTCATCTTCATTTATGTGATGCCAGAGTGTCTGTAGAAACAAACTCATAAATATTGAGTCCAAAAAGCTGATTTGAGTGTTTCAAGGGAAGATGCCATTTAGATACTCTTCTATGATCCTTCAGTTATTTTCATGTCTTGGGAAATAGGTTTCTACTTATTGCATCTGAATGAAAATTGTAGTACAGTAATTATTTCCATGGGTAGTATGTCCCATTTCATTTTTATGGGATTAGTTGTAATTTAAAATCCAATAACTTGTCTTGGAGAATTTTATATAGAGATGATTTGTGAAGGTGGCTGCTCTTTGGTAAAAGCACTTTTAGACTGCCTGCTCGCACTGCCTGTGAGTATCTGAAGAATTCATGTGCATTTTATGTATACTCAAAGAACACCAACTCTGAATGTTCTTTGACTGCAGCACCCCTATTCCTCGCAGAGCTCTAGACCTGCAAGTTTGCAGCTGTGTCGGGTTGTAGAAGTGGGCTTGGGAGAGAACAGGGTCATTAGGCAGTCACACGTTACACTTTTTTGCAGCCCAAATAACCCGTCTTGCCACTCCCTTTGAGGCAGCTCTTAGAGCCAGATGCCATTTCACATCACCACCTTTCCGTTCTACCTCCTCCATGTGTCTCTTGAACTTGTCTGCTTCATCTCCCCACCCCTTTATGCAGAGCTGTCATCCTCTCTGGCCTGGACTTGGTCTCCCTGGATCATGGCATGCTCTCCAGAACCTTCTCTCGTACCCATTGCACACAGGGTGAGACCCAGTCTCCTGGTGACGTGGCTCCATTTGAGCTTGCCAACTTCATTTCCCTCCAGTCTTTCTCTCACATGACTGCTTGGGCTGCAGGGCCGCCGTAGGACAGCTCCTTACGTCTGCAATGCCTCAACTCACTCTTGCTTTTCACTTTCCACCCTTGGTGTCTCGGCCCCCTGGCTTTCTAGGTCAGTCCTGTTACTTTCTTTCATGGCGCTTTTCAGTGTTTGACGACGTATTCGTGCATGTTCGTTTAAGGCAAAGTGTTACCTAGGAGGCTACAGGCTCTGAGAGCAGGGATCACATTTCTATACCACACTGGCACACAGGAGATGCTCAATTATTTACTGAATGAATACCTAGACCCTTCCAGGGTTTTGGAAGGGCTTTTAGCACATACAGCTTTCCGGAAGGGTCTCTAATGTATTTCTGAAGCCGTACAGATTTCTGCAGGAGTTGGAGGAGACAGGCATTGGCTACATCCTCTCAGACGTGGGGCAGAGTAGGTAGCTACTACCGGCCACCTGAGACGTGCACTTTCAGAGAGTGCCCTCTGACTTACTGACCTGGACTAGACAGAGTCATGTCTACGTTCCTGGTGTCCCTCTTGGACAAAGAGCCTTTAGTTATTGAGATTTCTCCATGTTCTTTTTTATCTACTTGCTTGATAATCAGAGAAAATGTTTATGTGAAATGGGCAGTTTCAGTATGCAGTGTCACGAATGACTTAGGGAATATATCTGTGCACCAGCAGAAAACCTAAAAATGCATGACAAATCTATGAAGCAAATAAGATAAATGGTGATTTGGAACTGAGACTGATAATGTGGCCACATCGCAAGCATTCTTTGTGTTATATAGGAAGAAATCAATTTGTACTAAACTCTTCAGTGACTTCTCAAAATGTCTCTAGCTTGGGCTGTAAAGTTTTCCTCCCCGTCATGGTGTCATCTCTGATGTCCTTGCTTCTCATTTGCCCTTCACCTTTGCTCAGAAACCTACTGGATGAGAGCAGTGTGAAGAGACAAACATGGGATGGTGAATGGAATTCTAGAAGCTGGCTCCAGGGGTGGGGGCAGTTCTGTGGGAGAACCGAGCAAGGAAAGGTAAGGACAGGTGTTCTGCCATTGGCCAGGACCAGACCCAGCAGGCCTTGGAGGGCTTTCCCGCCTCAGAGTGGAGTTTGGTCAGTGGGCTTATACTTAGGGGAGACAAATGGTCTTGGCGAACATGGAAGGAGGGAGAAAGCTCACTTTTGGCATGGTGCTGTCTTAGACGGCAGCATCTCAGATGGATGCAGGCTTTGCTAGCATGTCCCCATGAAAAGGAAATAAGGACAAAGAATCTCTGCAAGTCTCCACTTTTAAATGCGCCTTAAGTGCTGCGTAATGCTGCCCCTCAGAACTCTCGCTTGGAGGCAGTAACCGTATCAAAAAGGCCTCTTAACAGTGCAGAGGCTGCTGTAGGACGGTTCCACTGTGTGCCCGAGTGCCGGGACCTCTGCAGGTCCATTTCTGGGGCTAAGCGTGCAGTGCACATCTGCAAAGGGATAAAGGACAGAGAGGGAGCCGTGCACAAAGGCCCATTTTAGGAAATCTTTTATTGCAGATTCCATTCTGCATATTGATTTTTGAGAGAAAACACTGGAACTGTATCTTTCCTGAGCAGAAGAATACAAATGACAGCAAGACACATTTTAGTTGCTACTAAAGAACAGGATTATTTTCAATCAGCACGTTAAAAGCAGCGTAACAGATTAAGGGTGTGATCTTGCAGAAGCTTAATAAAAACGCTTGCGAGGCAGGCTGCCGGCCACACTGGGCACTCCCGCCTGGCTCTACTTTGGTCCAGAGAAGGGAGTAAAGGCCTTGTCATGGCCTGCCATGCATGCTTCGATTTCCTCCACCGTGCGGGGCACACAGGTCAGCAACTCCATGCCACTGTTGGTCACCACGACGTCCTCCTCGATGCGGACCTGGGTCAGGCCGACAGACACTCATTATTTCTGAACTGGCCTTATGTGCTGGATTAGAGGGTCAGACTGGAAAGCTCCAGGCTGAGCCCCTCCCCTGGGTGGGAGGAGTCCTTCTAATGAGGGGTCAATACAGCCCGTGACAGAAGGGGCTGGCCTCAAGGCCTCTGTGGGTGACTGCTGAGAGGAAGGCTCCTCCCATGGGGCCATCTGCTCGTGCCACCTGCCCACCCTGTCCTTGTCCCTTGCACCTTGCCAGGTGGATGGGAGCCCCTGGAGTGGGCAGGGGTTATGACGAATCCATGTCTCTTCTGTTGAGGGGTCAGGCACCTGTCCTGTCTCGTGACAGACCATGAGAAAAGACAGGCCAGGTCCTTCTCACATACGGAAATCAAAATTGTCCCTCCTCCCGCTAGGGCTCCTGTCCTGCGACAAAGAAGTGACAGGCAGCAGTGGGGTGCAGGGTGGTGGGCGTTCTACAAGCAAGGACTTGGGGCCCATGGGCACTCACCCCACCGAAACCACGGAAGCGCTGCAGGACCTCAGGGTTAAAGAAGCAGGCGCGGGCCGGGTCAGCCAGGGCCTCGTCCAGGAGGTGGTCGATGAAGTAGATGCCTGGCTCCACGGTGAGCACCATGCCTGGCTCCAGGTGCCGAGCGGTGCGCAGGCTCCGCAGGCCCGGCTCGTCGATGCGCTCCACGCCCTGTGGGGAGAGGAGAGGCGAGGAGGACCCCACTGACGGCTCCCAGGCTGGCACGGACCAAGGAGGGTGTCAACTCCAGCCCAGGGTCACTGCCTCAGCGGGAGGCAGATGGGCACAAAAAAACACACCGCGAAGCCCTCCTCTGCCACGCGGGCCTTCGCACGGGAGGGCTGGCTCCAGCCCCGGGGGGCCTCTCTGGAGCTGCAGGGGAGGCTTTGTGACCGTGGGGGGCCCCAGCCCACTCACCGTTGCTGTGCTGTGCCACAAGCTCTTTAGACGAGACCTTCTACTCTCTGCCCAGCCCCCCAGATTTTGAGTGTGCCTGCCGCTTGTTACCCTCAGAGCTGCCTGCAGAAGCCCTGTGGACACCCCTGTGCACCACCAGGGCAGGCTGCCCCTGCTGGCCCACGGGGCTGGCTGGGGGTCCGGCTGCCCTCACCCAGGCCTTTCCTGCCAGGTGGACGGCAGAAGCCAAACCTGGGAAGCCAAAAAAGCTCTTAAGGAGGCTGTGAGCCTCCCGGGCTGCGTCTTCTCTTCCAGGCAGCTTAAGTGGAAATTGGCCTCAGAAGTGCCGGGCCGGGCTCCCCCAGGCCAAGTCCCAGGTTTTCCATGTGGCCTTCCAGGAGGAGGGACAGGTGCTGTCATCAGGATGGGCGTGCCAGCACCAGCTCCGGGGCATATGCGCACAAATGCACGTGCACCCCGCACCCCGTGTGCATGGCCTGGGGGTGTGGCCAAGTGCTGTGTCCCGTGCCTTGCCCACCCTCTGGGCCCTCCAGCTGAGCCCTGGGGGGAACGGCTCCCAGCCCTGAGGAGGGTGAGTGGCAGCGGCAGCTGCTCCCTGCAGAGGCACTCCCCTCCCCTAGCGCACACCCGGCCCAGGCCTGTCCACTCACATGGACATAGCCGAGCTGCCTGGGCTGTGAGGGCAGCTGGTGCCTAGGACACTTGCAGAAATTTCCTTGCCTTCCCCAGGCCCCTGAGGCACCCATGTGGCCCCTGGCCAAGGCCTGTGAGCGAAGGGCAGCAAGCAAGCTTTCTGGGCTCGCCCTGCCCACTCGCGCCTCTTCCCTGGAAGCTCAGCTGTGGAGATGGAGCTGTCATTTCTGACTGTTTAGGGGCCAAGAACATCAGACTTCAATTAGCGGTTCATGTAAGGTAACCAGAAACAGGCTGGCTCAGCCTCCACGGCTGGGCACCGGCGGGAAGGCGGCGACCGCGACTCTGTCAGGGCGGGGACAGCGGGGCACACAGAGGACCCTGACCTGGTGTGAGCCAGACTGGGATGGAGGTGATGAGGGTCACCAGGGCACTGTTACCTCTGCTGGGTCATACTGTGGGCACAGACACCTGCCTGGTGTGGTACCCAGCTCCACAACACTTTGTGCCTGGAGGAGCTAGGCAGGAGGGCAGGGGACGCGTTAGGGCCTGGTCTGGAAGGACGGTCCCTGTGCTCAGGTGAGAGGTGCCTGTGGGCGAGGCAGGGGCCTGGCTCCTCCCAGAAGCCGCCTGTCAGAGCTGGAGTCCAGGTTTCTGCTCCCGGACATTCCCACTCCGGCCATCTGAAGTCTGTGCCTGGGCACCCCCTCCCTGTCCCTTACCTTCTACCCGCTAAGTGCCCATCCCCTTCTCTCCACTCCAAGGCTGTCAAAGCCAGGGCCCTGGTGGAGGCCCTGTTGTTCTCTGTTCCCCCTCCCACGCCAAGCTGCCCCACGGGCGTGTAGAGGGAGGGGTGGTGTGCTCAAGCTTGTTCAGAGACAGGCTGCCCTCCAGAAAATTGCAGGACCCCCACTCAAACCAGAGGGTGAGGGGAGAATGGGAGGGATCCCGGGGGCATGGGAGGACACGCCTGCCCCAGCCCGCTGACCATGACCCCTTCAGTGCATTAGCTCTCAGCAGTCTGCCCCATGGGCCCCCAAAATGGCAGAGCAGGGCTGGAGAAGGATGGGGCCTGAGAGCAGACCCCATGGAGGGGAGAGGCCGAGCCCCTAGCCCCTCTGGCCCAGGACTTCAGCCCTGCTGGGTCCATGCCGGCTCTGCCTGGGCAGAGAGCTGGACGTGGCCTCAACTTTTACTGGGCTCTCAGCAGAGGAGATCCAGATGTGTCTCTAGGCCTGAAATAAAACAAATGACTTTTATAGGAAAAGCCATATTTTTTCCACAATGTTTATCTGTCAGAAGAATAGACTCTGTGAGCACAAAGGGCTGCTTACTGGAAAAGATGAAAACAGTTTGCTGCCAATTTTCTCTGGTGGAAAAAAAGCGCTCTGGCACTAATGAATACCGACCCCAGTTAACAATGTCTGGAAGGGCCTGCTCTTGGCTCCCTGTGCACAGTGTGATGGAGAGAAATTAGGAAATTAAAACTGACTTTGTTTCTCTAAATTTAACTGTTTACACTTGAGGAAAAAATAATTGAATAATAATGCTTCTCTTGAGCAATTTTTTCCCCCCAAAAATCGTTCTTAGTGCTTTCAAAATACCCTGTAGCCAACAGGCCAAGCCTAGTCTTGGCTAAGTGGCTGGAGGGCCCCAGGGCGTGCACCGATTGCATAATCAGCCCCCTGCACCGTGGGCACCCGGCCCGGGGCAGGGCCCGGCTTACCCCCACCCACGGCCTGGAGAGGCTGCAGCCACCTGCCCAGCAGTGCCTCCCGAAGGCTGTGAGCACCCTCTGGGTGGTCCTTTCAAGGATCAGTCGGCAGGAGGGGGAAGGGAAAGCCTAGTCTGGAGGCGCCCACACGAGCCTCCTCCCCTGCCCAGGGTGCCTAGAGCGCTGGTGACAAGGCCACGGGGGCGTGCTGGCCACACCAGGGAGGCCCAGGGGCAGGCGTCTGCTGCTGGGCTTGTGAGGGGCACTGGGCTCAGCTAGTCCCAGGAGGGACCAGGGCCAGCCACCAGCTGGTGAAGCCTCATCACCCCCTCTGAAGAACACCCAAGGCAGGAAGACATGACAGGTGCAGTGCCAGCCCCATCACTAAGACCCAGCTTTGGGGCTCCCGCTGCCCTGCAGGGACCCCACGCATTGCACACTGACCATCTACCACCCTTCAGGGCAGGCACTACAGGCAGCGCACAGCCCAGGGCTCACCGTGCAGAGCACACCCATCTCGCGCCAGGTCCCGGAGAGGCGGCCACCAGAGGAGGCAGCTCACGGAAACACCCCTGCCTTCACCAGGGTCCTTAGGGTGGGGACACCATGGCAGCAGCCTGGGCCAGGACCAACCAATGGGTGAAGGGCAGGAGGGGCAGCGGGCCTTGCCAGCACTCCGTCCCTCCTTGTGCTGCCCGTCCCACGACACCCAGCCCCTCCCTGCCCTGGGCAGGGCCAGGCCCTGCAGCAGCCCGCGGGCAGGCCACTTGCGCTGCCTAGTCCACTCTGACCTCGGGGTAGCCTCCCACGTCGTGCACGTCAATGCCCAGGAAGTGGCCGAGCCCGTGAGGCATGAATACGGCTCCTAGGTGGGCCTGGACCATGGCGTCGACGCAGCCGCTCAGGACGCCGATGCGGACCAGCTCCTCCAGGTGGATGCGGTCGGCCAGGCGGTGCATGTCCGGCCACCAGACACCTGCGGCTCAGGAGGAGGCTGCAATGAGCTGTGGAGACTGACAGCCTGGCCGGGGTCCCCCAGAGCAAGGTTCAGGAACACATGAAGCCCTCTCATTGGCTGAGGTGGGAGGGCCTGAGAGGTGAGGGGCAGGGGTGGTGTGGCCTGGGGCGGCCCTCCATGCAGGACTTCCCCAGCCACTGCTCTGGACCCTGAGACCCTTCCCCTCTCTCTCTCCATTGTGCCCTCGGGTAGGCTCTTGTCACCCATGGCCAGGGCCCCAGCCCAGGTCTACTCCCCAGCCCACGCTGTGTCCACGCTCGGCCAGTGTGCTTCTGGGGCCAAGGGAGCCCAGCAAGGCCCCTGGGCATCAGGAAGAGAGAGCGTATGTCCCCAACAGCAGATGTGGGGCGGCCTCAGTGAGCCCCAGACCAAGGCTCGGGCCCCAACGCTGCCTCAGAGCCCCAGGCTGTGGGGCCAGGGGGAAGCCTGGGGCTGTGGAAGGGACGCATCCCTGCGCACCCCAGAATGGGGCTGAACCACGCTCAGAGCAGCTGTGGGGAGCAAAGGTTTCTGGGGTGAAGGTGCGGCTGGCACAGCCTTATGGGCTGGCTGGCAGGGTCTGCGGCCCCGCCTGTTCCCGTCTCCATGGCAGCCTAGCCGGCCAAGCCCAGGCTGCTCATCACACTCATCTTTGCCCCATGTTTCTGGGGCAAAGGTCATCGTGGATAGCATCCCCAGGCACTGAGTTTTCGGGTGCACAGGCTTTCTGGGGCTCAGGGGCTCGGCCCTGTCTGGCCTCCTGGGAGGCCCTGGGGGGCAGCCTATGGCTATGGCACAGCCGCCCTCATGAGTCTTGGTCTTCACCAGGGCAGGCCCACCCTGCCCACTGGGCTCCGTGGAGTCCCCACCTTCAGCCTCGCCCAAGGGCCCTGGGCGCTCAGCCTAAGCACCAGACAAGGACCAGGCCAGCGAAGTTCCCTGCCCCAACCCATGAGGGCCGAGTCTGGGGCAGGCCACGTGCTGGCCGAGGCCTGCAGCTCCAGGACACGCAGGGCCAGGTGGACAGGGTGGAGGCCTGCATCCCTGTGCAGTGCTCTGGCCAGAGCGGGTGGCCAGCACTGGTCCCTGCGGCCCCCTCCACGTGGGGAGCAACCTGGCTCTCAAGGGGCCTCCCCGCCATGCCCTGCTCTACATATCCCCCAGCTTGGACGATCGCTGCCGCAGGATGGGAGCACTGGAGGGATTCTGCACTGCGAGGGGCCTCTCTGGACCCTGTGCTGGTGAGGGCTGGGCCACCGGGGTCTGGGCTCAGGGCTCTGAACCTTTGTGACTGGCAGAGGGCAAACGATGGGCTCAGGGGGTAGAGAGAGACGAGAGCCCACTCTGGGCCATTGCCTCCCAGACACTCTCGCTGGGCACCAGTCCCCCACGTGGGGGCCCCTTCCCCACCAGACAAAGGCCCCACAGTTGGGGTCTTGGGCTGGCTGGAGGCACGGGGCTGATCCAACCTCCTCAGGATCTAGGCCCTGAGCAAGTGGTGAGGCTGCACCCTGGCCAGTTCACAGGGCAGTGGCCAGACCATGGACCAAGGTGCAGGGAGGCCAAGGGTGAAGGACGCCCAGACCTGTCCCAAGAGACAGAGGGCCTCCTTAGAGTCCAGCTCCGTCCTGCCTGCCTCGGTCCACGAGGCGCTGAGGTAGGGGTGGCGTCCTGGGGTCCAGAGTCTGGCTGTGACCACGACAGCATGAAGGGAGAGCCCAAGCCTCAAGGGTGGACGGCTTTTCTCTGATGTCTAGCATCCTGAAATGGAGATCTGGGTCCAAACCCTGCTCAGCTGCTCACCTGCTGTGTGACCTGGGTAAACCCTGACCTCTGTGAGCCTCAGATGCCTTCTCTGTCCAACAGGGCCACCACGCTGGCCCTAGAAAGCTGGCCGCAGAGGCTCTGTAATCTACCAGTGGAACGGGTCAGTATCCCCCCCAAGTCTGTCATTAGCCACTATTCATCCATCACTGTCAGGCCAGCCAGACCCTGGGTTCAACTCTTCATGTCCACTGTGTTCCTGGGGCACAAGTCAAGCCTGCCTCAGCCTCCGGCCCCCCGTTTCCTCTAAGACCCACCACCCCACCTCGCCCTCCCCAGACCAGGCCCCTCTGTTCCAGACGCACACCGAAGACTCTCTGCATCACTCTGCTGACTGCAGAGTGGTGGGCCTGCGACTCCTCCCCCCAGGGGCTCAGTATAAATCGGCTCCCCCTGGAGAGACCTTCCCTACCGCTCTCCCCGCTGTCATGACTATTTCTCTCCATGCACCTTTCTCCTTGTACCTTGTCTCCTAGACGGGTCTGCCTACTTGCTGCTTGTGTCTCCCCATCCGAGGAGCTGCTGCCTCCCCTGGGCACCCCGGGGCCTGGCACAGCGAGTGCTCCCTCGTTCCTAGGCTCTGCTCCTGCCCAGAGGCTCCCCTAAAAGAACCCCCCAAGCAGCTCTGTAAACTGGGCTCCCATCAGACGGCCTGGCCCCAGGGGCTGAGGAAGGGTGTCCTATGTGGTGGCTGACGCCGCAACCCCAGTGCAACCCCATTTCTCTCGGGCAGGGCCTTTTCCGGTTGCCAAAACAGAGCCCCAGGAAGCAGCCTGACTCCAAACCGGGCTAACTTCCACAGTGGGGCCGCGGGCCCGGCCCGGCCTCGGCCTCGGGTGGGAGTCAGGTATAAATCATGCTCCGTGCTGGCAGCTCGGCTCCTCTTCTGTCCTCACGGCCCCTTGTGGGGGCCGGACGCACGGGCCCAGGCGGTCCCCGCGGCGCCTCGAGTCTTGCTCGCCTGCACGCCCTCGGGGAAGGCCTTGCACACAGCCCTCTTGGCCGGGAGTGGGAGTTTCTGCCTGTGTGTGGTTAGGGTTGTGACAGTGATTAAACCTCCAGCAACTTGGCCCCAGCGTCTGGCCCGGATGGTGGTTACGACACCCACAGGCAGGGCAGAGGCCCCTGAAGTGTGTGGAGGTTACTGCCCTTGGGCTAGGCTGCGGGGCGGGCACACGCCAGAGGGCCCCCCACCCGCCCAGGCCCAGCCCACGGTGGGGGCAGCCCATGGCCTGACTCCCGGGCTGCCCTCCCCCCACAGCCCCGGCACCTCGGAGCCCACACGACCCAGCCAGAAGGCACTGCTCGTACTGGGGACGCACAGAGGGGATCACACTGCAGAAACAGGGCGTCACCTGCCCTGCCTCCCTCCCGCCTCCAGCGAGCACCGAATCTTGTCCCCTCTTCCCCGAAACATCTCCTGAACCTTGACCCTTCGTGGGTCCCCACCTCTCATGGACTCCTGCTCAGGTTCCTCCCCAGCCCTTGCAATGCCTCCTTCTGTACAGCATCCTGCAGGTCGAATACCAAGACCGGCTCTTTAGAACACAGGTCAGACTGGGCCAGGCCCTGTGCTGAGGACAAAGCCTCGAGATCCTCGCCTGGCTCTCCTCTGCAGCCTCATCCCTCACCCACTCCCAGGCCAACGGCCCTGAGTGCTGGCACTCCCCTGTGCCTTCCATCTGCTGTTCCCTGAGTTGGGACCACCCCTCCAAGGCCTCACCTTCCCAGACTCACCCCATTCCTCCCATGGGTCTATGTTGGGGCTTTCTCCAGGAAGCCCTCCCTGACTGCCCCTTTCTGTACTGCCAGAGCACAGCACACCACTGGCACAGCCCCGGCTGGACACAGCCTCTGAGCCCTGAGACGGCAGGCCTGTGCCCTGAGCAGGAACCCCAGCCTTCCCCACGGCACGGGCCTGGAATTGGGGGTGACCTCGACCCTGCTCCTCCGTGCACTCCGACCCCAGGGAGGCAGAGGAGCCTCTGGGTCTGCACCCCACCACCTGCCCACGGGCTCAGAGGGCCAAAGCCCGGGGCGCTCAGGCCCCAGCATGTGTGCAGAGCACCCCCAGGTCACCGGCTGATCGTCTGTGCCCACCTGGTCCCCCTCGGGCCACACATCTCCTGATGGGCCAGGAGCCACTGGGCCTGCTGCTTGGGCCAGCTCCTCGGAGCCAAAGCGGCATCCATCACAGCCTGGGGCTTCCTGCCCGGAGTGAGACAGCCCTGGGGTCTCCGAGGCCCTGAGCCGAGCCAGGAAGGCAGCAGAGGGCCCCTCAAGCTACATCCGCACAGCCACTTCCAGACAAAGAGCTCACTTCATCCGAAGACAACGGCCCTCGGGGGAAGATGTGTGCGCCAGGCCCTGGGGGTGCAGGAGGGAGGCTCAGGGCTGGGGTCCCAGGGCAGGCACACAGGCTGCAGGGAGCTGCCTAGCAGGGCGAGCTGGCGCAGGGCTGAGGGCCTCCAGCCCACACCACTGCAGACCCCTGTCTGCTGCCAAGACCTCTGGGGACCCACTAACCCTGCGGAAGGCCAGGGGGCCGCGTGGCCTGGGCTGCAGGCGCCGCGACGCTGAGCGGAGCGCAGCTGCCTTGCGCAGTCTCCGCGTGGTCCCACCCCCCCACC